CGATACGAAGCGACAGTGTTAGGCATAAGATGACGGTCCTGAAACAACCACGAGAGGAAGGACAAGACCACCCGAACAGACAAGGAGCTAACATGACGAAGACGCAAAAAGAAACGGAAGGACCGCCAGGAAACTTCATACTGCCGCCGAGAAGAAGCCCTCAGGTGGGACACCAACAAGGAGGCCACCTGATCACCATAGAGATGATGATAGACTCGAGTCAAAAAAACCATACGCGAAGACTCGAGGAGAAGATCGAACCAGCTACGTGACGTACCGGCCCGATCTGCTGAAAGAGGCGGAGCCGCGGGAAAACCCTCGGGTTCGGACACCGAGCAACCAGCGCCTGAAACCAAGGCTGGGCCGGCCACCAAGGGGCCAGAAGGACAACTCTCCCCTGGTAAGTCTCTAAGCGAGTCAGGACCTGGAGCAACAGCCGAACTGGGGGAAAGAGGTACAGGAACCCCCACCTCGACCAGTCGAGCCGAAAGGCATCGACCCCGACGGCCTCGCAATCGGGGAAGGGCGCCGCATAAACGGGAAGACGCCGCGACCACGCCGACGCGAAGAAGTCCACCTCGGGGCGCCCGAACGTCTGGCAAAGCCAACGGAAGGACTCGTCGTCGACCGTCCACTCCGTGGAGAGGGGAACGAAGCGAGACAGGGCGTCGGCCAAGACGTTGGACACGCCCCGTACGTGAACCGCCAGGAGAGCCAAACCCCGAGAACTCAGCAGACGAGTCACCCGAAGCGACCAACCCCAAAGAGACAAAGACCGCATCGAACCCCCGCGGTTCAGGCAATGAACCACCGGAGAGCAGTCCGAATGGAGCCGAATCGTCGATCCGCGGGCCACCCGAATCCTCCCCAGAGCAAACCACACTGCCGCGAACTCCCGCACCGTACTGTGAGCTCGACGGAAGGACGGATCCCAACGCCCCTGGCCGGCCTGGTGAGCACTGGTCACAAAACCCCAGCCGAGAGACGACGCATTCGTGAACACATCGAGCGAGGGCTCGGGTAGGCGCCAAGGCACTGAACCCCGAAAAACCCGAAGAGGAAGCCGGTGACGCAGCAACCGACGCAAGTCCCCCGGGGGTCGAACTCTGCGATCGCGAGAGAGGCGGAAGGGGGAACCCCGAAGGAACCAGAACAGCCGTCGAAGCCAAACCCGACCCGGCGGGTAGACCACCATCGCGAAGTTCAGGCTCCCGCACAGCCCCTCGAGCAACCGCCGGGTGACCCGAGGGCCCTCCAGAAACAGACGAAGGCGGGACCGCAGCCGCAGGAGAGACTCCGGAGGGAGAGACAAGGAGGCGGTCCGAGAGTCCCACACGAGACCCAGCCAAGTCCGAACCTGAGAGGGAACCAGATGGGACTTCCTCCAGTTCACCAAGAACCCGAACCCGGCGAGCTGGGAAAGAACCAAATCCCTGGCTAGCAAGCAAGCGGACTGGCTGGGAGCCCAAACCAGCCAGTCGTCGAGGTAGGCCAACACCCGAACACCTAGGAGACGCAAACGAGCCACCACAACCCGTGTAAGGCGTGTGAACACGCGAGGTGCCAGGTTCAACCCGAACGGGAGACAACGAAAGCGGTAACTCAGACGCCCCACTACAAAACCGAGCCAGTCCCTGAACCGCGGATGAATCGGGACATGCCAATAAGCGTCCCGGAGGTCCAGGGACACCATCCAAGCACCCGGCTCCAAGAGGAGCCGAACCTGAGACAGCGTAGTCATCCGAAAGGAGGGGCAATGAACCCAGGGGTTCAGACGGGACAAGTCCAGAATGAACCGCTGGTCCGCGCAGTCCCGTTTCGGAACCGGAAACAGACGGGAAACCCATCTGAGGGACGACGTCGTTTCGACGACGCCCAAGCGTACCCACTCCAAGACGACTCGACAGAGCGCAGGGGAGGAAGCCTGCCCCGCCAGCCCCGACCCCCCAAAGGGGGGAGGGGCCACCCAACGCCACCGCAGGCCGCGAGACACGACCCGAAAGGCCCACGAATCGTGGGACCAGGCGCGGGCGAACAGCGCAAGCCGCCCCCCCATCGCCCCGTCAAAGGAGCAAACCGCGAAAGGGCCGGCGACCCTTACGAGACCCAGAACCCCGCACAGCGCGAACACCGCGCCGACCAGACGAGGGAGGGTCCGCAGGAGGAGCCAACCCCAAACCTGACACCAGAGGCCTACCACGACGAGAGGAACCCCGAGCCCTGGCACGACCTTTCCGGGAAGACCCACCCCGGGACCCCCGGAAAACCAACAAGTCCGACATCGGACGACAAGCCGCCGACGCAGCCTGAATAAACTGCGCCACGGCCGACTCCCCAAACAGGAGAGGACAAAAAGGTGAAGAACGCCTAAGAGCCAGAGCCCAAGCAGATTCCACGGAGGAACCCAGCACCGCCTGCCGACACGCGAGACGGGAAGCATAGAACAGGGAAACCGCATCCCGCAAAATCGGCGTGAACAGCTTCAACAAGGCAGCCGACGAACGCGCAGCCGAGGACAAGGTGCCGGACCCCGGGACGGACCCAAGCGTCCCCACATCCACCACGAGCCAATCCGAAGACAGCTCCAGGAGGGAAAAGAACCGCAAGGCCGAACACAAAAGGCCCCGAGCGCGCAAGTCCTCCGCCACGAGCGCCGCCGAAAGGGAGGGAACCTGCACATGGAGCTGAATAACGCCCACATCGCGGGGAAGGGCAGGGGCAAACAAGCACTCATTCAGGTACTCAAGGTCACCCCCCAGGAAAACCTGAAGCACCGTGGAAGCTTCCCGCCACTCCAGCGTGCGGGAACGACAGAAGGAATGCCAGGAATCCAGACCAAACAAGGGGCAGTCTGCTAGCCAGGATGACTCCGGAACCTCGTAACGGAGCCAGAAAGGGAACGAAGTCCCAAACCTGAACGTGGACGGATCCATTTCCGAGGCATAATCCGGGTCACGCAGGAGGTAAGCTGCAAAGGCCGCTCGCACCACACCAGGTTGGATGCGATAAGCCGAAAACCTCCGGAAGGACGGAACCGACGTACCCGGGGGAACACGGAACCGTACCCGGGGAGGGGCCGACACCAAATCCAACTCGTACGCAGAGGGGGGGAAAGAAAACCCCACTCCTTGTAACAATAAGCCCCGCTCAGTGGGAAGAAAAACCCAGGCGGGGTCCAGCGGGGCCCAAGGCCCCCAAGTCAGCCCCTCCCCAGCCTCGAGGTCCGTCACCACAGGACCCGAGGCCGAGTCCTCTCCCCAAGCCCCGACCCCACAAGACAAGGACGGAGCAGCCGGAAAAGCTGGAGGAAGGGGGGCCCACTGGTCAGACCCTGAAGCTTCGGCCGGGAGACAAGACTCGAATGCCTCTGCCGCCCCCCCGGAAGGGGCAACCCCCGAAGCTGCCCGAGTCTCGAGATCAAGTAACCCCTGCTCCGACCCCGAAACCCTCAGACGCTTCGGGGCCGGAAGCAGGGGCGGGGGACCAGAACGAACAGAAGGGGAAGGACGAGGAGGTGCGGACTGAACCAGGATCGAAGCGACCCCCACCCCCAAGTCCGGGTCTCGAAAAGCAAAGCGGGGCAGCCCCGGGGCATCCGGGGAAGCAACCAACCGAGCGCGTTGCAACAGACGAAACCTAGACTGCAACGCACGTGCCGCCTGTACCCGAATAGAATCATCAGAGGATTGGGTAAATTGAGTCACAAGCAAGCAGCAACACTCACAGGACTCAGGGTCGAAAGTATCACCGACCCAACAGGCAGCGTGGCAGAGGCAAAAACAATGAGGGTCACCCTGAGACAAGGGGACCGAGCAACCCTCAAACTCGCACACAGCGAGTGGGGACCCCGGGGTCACATCCATCGGACCCACGCGCCCCCTAGGGGATTCCCAGGGTCCTGAGCGTTTACTTTAAGAGGACTCGCGCTCAGGTAGTCCCAGGCAGGGTGCTGCAAACCGGCGCCCAAAACTACCAAGCAAACTTCTAAAGCTGAACCCCAGGGACGTGTACACTCACGGGGACCTAGCAGGGGGCGCCACCGAGGAGAACAGTGGAAGGGCAAAAACAAACTGAATAAAATGACAGAACCCCCCACCAGGCAAAAACAAAAAGAAAAACAAAACCCCGCAAGAGGACAGCGAACCCCAAGGAACAGAGCCGGCCGCGATGTCGGGAATTACAAGCTGAGCAGCACCCTGCGCCCCTACCAGTGCAAACTGCCTCTTACCTGCCGGTAACAAGGGAGAACAGAACACCCAAGAGCCCAACAGGCGGCCGAAAAACCGAAAGGTAAAACGGACCAGCAGAGGCAGACCCCGAGGAGCCTGTGGAAGGTGGCCCCAAGCCCCAAGGGCAGTACTTACAGGGCACCTAGGGAAGGCAGCCCTAGGCGCATGCAGCCCGAGTACTGAAGATAACTCCTGGCTCTCGCACCCACAAAACTAACACCACACTCAAAGCACAGTGCAGTAGCGACACCGGAGCCAGAGCACACGACCATCGCCAATAGCATCAGCCTCAAGAACTGAGGTGTGGGTAGCCGGCGCGGGGGGTCTGGGGCTCCCCCTTCCCCCTCCCGGGGAGGGGGGAGCTGCGCAGACAGCGGCGCGGCAGTGTGTGACGTCACACTAATTTGCTTGTTTTCGGTTGGGGAGTTCTATCCACTAGTTCGGTATTAGGTAGCAATTTTAACCAGAATAGGGGTTTGTTTTGGGGCGCTTACCTTTCTGGGTGCCTGTTCCGGTCGATGGCAGACATAGAATGCTTCCAACTACACGGGGGCTTCTATAGGCCATTGCTCCCCTTGCCTCTCTGAGGGGGCCCGGTTCTGGCCGTGGTCCCCGGTAGGCCTAAGAACTCCATACACATGACTGATGCCAAAGTCTGACATTAGCATATCAGCCTGGGATAGCTCCGGGGAGCCGACGGGGCTCCCCCAGAAATAGCTACCCAAGTCCAAAATAAGCTTATAGTGTATAAAGATGATTAATTTTGCACTATATTTAATAAAATTTTAATATGTACATTACCCGTACATATTGCAAAAGTACTAATAATTTATGTATGATTTTCTAAGACATCACATTTAGGTTTCACTGTAATGTTGTTGGGATGAAGTTGGCTTCTCCCGCTCCTTTTGATATTCCAATTCCATTTTTTCATATATTTTCTTCCAGTCAACCTCAACCTGAAATAAAATACATAAATGAGAAAATACCCAAACTATAATACATATAAATGATAAAATACAAGTGTACCATATACAGCAAAGTAGTGTTATTTGTCCTGATAAATTTGTCTCCCTAGGATGGTTGTCTAACAAGCAGGAGTCATAAGTGGTTAAAGCTACTCTAGACTCTAGGCATATTGTGAATACTGCACAATATTTTCTGGAAGAGGCCACTCGGTGGTTTCCTGAAGTTATGATGCTCTGAATAACTCCATGCCTATTGAGTCAACCCAAGCCCTTGTGAGTCAATAAAGGCCTACAGGAGACCAGAGGCCAAAACCAGGTTCCCTCAAAGAAGAGCAGAGTGCAAGGGATTAACTGATCACCCACACCAAGGAACTAACCTCCAGAAAAGTAGAGCAAATCAAAGCCGACTACAGCAAGGCAAATGTAAACAATGCAGGAAATGATCCACCCAGTAGTTAGGTTCTTCATCCTCTAAGTGCAGCTGCCCATCACCAGGTGGCAGTACCAGGGACCACCTCCATCTTGTAAACACCTTCAGTTAGTCACCATGCCTATGTCTTAAGAAACACATCAACAAATTGGAAAAAGTGCAAAGACATGCAACTAAATGGCTCCTAGAACTGAAGGACAAGAGCTATGAGGAGAGGTTAGAGGCATTAAATATGCCAAAACTAGAAGATAGAAGAAAAAGAGGCGATATAATCACTACATACATAATCGTAACGGAAATTGATAAAATTGATAGGGAAGAATTCCTGAGACCTGGAACATCAAGAAAAAGAGGTCATAGATTTAAACTAAATAAACAAAGCTGCCGAAGGAATATAAGAAAATTCACTTTCGCAAACAGAGTGGTAGACGGCTATAACAAGTTAGGTGAGAAGACTAAGACCATCAGTGCAGTAATTTCAAAGCATTATATGACAGAGTACTGGGAAGATGGGACACCACGAGCGTAGCTCTCATCCTGTCGTAACTCATAAGTAATTACACTTAGGTAATTACTTTGTGCAGGGTTTGGAACCCTTTAGAGAGCATGTGATTAAATTGGCAATAATTTTATAAAATATTCTCTTGAATACCAACGGTAAGAAAATATGCGTAACAAAATAGTTACACGTATTATGCTCGGCATGCGTGCCATTGATTCCCCAGCCTAGTGTTAAAGAACGACTGCTTCTAAAAGAACTTTTGAGTTATAAATTTTTGTTGTCTAAATTTGTGCATATTTCAAATGCCATGCTGTCAATTTTTTTTTACTGTAAACTATACTGAAAACCTATATTCTAAATATATGAAAATGAAGATCATATGCTATTCTGAAAACATAACACCAAATGAACAGTTGGTGATATTTTTATATTTTTGCAGCTGATTTCAAAATCTGAAGTTTTCAATATTCAATTTTATAATTATTTTGTATTTTCTTGTTTTTCAAGTTACACTGGTGTCATTTAGACAAGGTTGGAGCAATTGCTTAGTAGATTATTAAAAAAACATTTGCAAGAGTTTCAGCAAATTTTAAAAACCGAGTTCAATGTCACACATCATATGAGGTTCTGCGCAGTTTGAGGGTTAACTGCCAGACTGATTCTGTCTTAGCGTTCAGGTGGATATCAATACCAGGCTAACAGTGGCACAGCAGGAATGGGATAAAGGGTAGGAGGGACCCTTTAACCCATTTTCGACCCACTGTTGCCCTCTATCCCACCACAACACATCCACCTTCACTCTTACCATGCTGCTGTATGCCTAGGGATACAATTCTTTGTAGTTATTAATTTACTGTATAGTGTACTGTATTTATGTAATTACTAGAATTATTTATTTATAAAATCACATGATAAGCCTTATACCTTTGGTGTATAAGGATGATTTAAAAGTAAAAACAAAACCGATGTAAAATATAAGGAGCATCGTAAAAATAAAATGGGGTAACTTGGATCTCTATATGATCTGAATTTGTGAGCGATCTCTGCACTCAATTTTTCTGGTACATCAACACTGCATACATTTTTTGCTAACCTTACTTAATCTGGCCCTACCTTCAATGAGTAATTATGTGTGCTCTTTACATATATGTAATATCTAAGTGATTAATGCCATTTCATTAAGAATTTAAAAAGCTGAAACATACTGTACCTGCTTTTCGTACTGTAAAAAGAGCTTGCTGGTTTCTTTCTTGGCGAATCGAGCTAAATAGCGTTGTCTGAATGCCACAACAGTATCAACATGTGTGCGGTGCCTGATGGCTAGCTGAAGTGCTCGCTCAAAGTTATAAATGGTCAGGTTCAACATAATGGCCCTGAAAAAGAGACCAGATTGAACAAGGAGAGCTTCGGCATCTCCAATGTGGCCTCCCAATAATGCCATTTCAGCTGTTCGGGCCTCTTTAACTGGGATCTCTTTAATGTAGTGAATATACTGAACTTTGTCAGCCTCATTGATTGCTGCGTAGGCTACTTCTGCTGTGCCAAGTTCTTTATTGGCTGTAGCCATAGCTGCCAGGCAGGCCCAGACAATATCATCTTTCACAAATCTTGCTAATCTAACTGCATCATCCCAGTGTTTGGTAGTTACATAGTTTTGAAGTAGAGCTGGATAAGGAGAAACATTGGTAGTTACCAAACTACCATCTGCTCGTCGCATTGTCACCACTGAGTCTAAGAAATTGTCTATTATTGCATTCTTGCCAAATTCAGAAGCATCTTTCTCAAGGACTGTAAGTGGTTGAAGATCACGATCAACAAACACAACTGCAGGGTAAAACCACACAATAAATTTAGAGTCCTGAAGTGCAGCAAGCATATTAGCTCCATCATTCCAGCTCAGAGATTGCACCATCCCACCAAGTTTAACTGCTCTTCCCATGGTACCGACACGCTGCAGAGTCACCAAAAAGAGATCTCGATTTCTATCAACAATAGCCATACGCCTCTCATGGGCTGTTCCAACTTGATCTAGAGCCAATTCCATAATTTCTAACTTATGAGACCATGGTTTGCCATCATTCAAGGCTTTGCCAGTTGTTGCATCAAACAAATGAACCATTTTCTCATCCGTTTTATCTCGAATTGCCAAGGTGTCATTTGATAATGATACAGTACGACTATTTAGTACATCTGTCCTCATTCCTGGCCAGCGTGGTACACACAGCACTCGGCCATCATATGAATAAACATATACACTTGCCCCATCCACGAGCAGGAAATGCCGTTCAGCCTGCACAATAAGACTGACATTTGATTCTTTTAATTCAAAGATGAAGGGAGTGTTCCAGTTGCGTGTGGAATAGATATAGCCCTGTGTTGATGTTACTATAACCATAAAGCCATGCGAAAGTGACACTTTGATTATGCGGTCTCTCAGTTCAAGTTTCTCCCAAGCTTCATTTGTAACATCCCGTAATGCAATACTTTTGCGACTTGTTACAGTGGCTTCATAATTTTTCCATTCGAGGTGACTTTCAATGACATGTGCGAAGATGACATGACCATTACCACATGCACCAGCAACTTGAGTTCCATCACTAGACCATGCAAGGTTGAAGATGCTTCCTGTTGTGGGCTTTTCCAGTGAGTGACACCAGCCAGCTTTGTCACACAGCCGAAGTGTGTTAAATGAACCTACTGCAAACATCTGACCATCGGGTGACCAAGCCAGTGCCGTGATTGGATGATGGTGTTGAGAAGAAGAAAATAACTGACGACCAAAGTTGTCCCAAACACGGTATCGAGTATCTTCACCACCTGAGAGTATAAGACCAGTATTGGGATTCCAGGCCACCTTCAGGATAATTCCTTCATGGGCTTTCCACTGCAAAAGAAAGAAGAACAAAATTCTTGATAATTTATTTTTTTTAATACTTTATTTGTGAATAAAGTTAATAAAGTGTATTTACAGTATTTTGTTATTTTTTATTACAGTATTTATTTAATTTTACCTGAATAGGCTTAGAGTTTGGTGCCAATGGTTTGATGATGAGATTTGTACCAGTTGTATAGAGAACTGCATCTGAATCAGGGGCCCAAGCTGCACCATACACTGGAACTGATACTTGTGCCAGTGTTGATCGCAGCATTCCACTACGAGACCAGATCTTCACCAACCCATCCTCACCCGCTGTAAATGTGAAGCACTACAAATATACAGTACTGTACAACTAATATGTATAGAATATATTTATCTCTAAATATATATTTAGAGATAAATATATATTTAGAGATATATTTAGAGATACAATATATATTTAGAGATACAATATGTGTATTAAGAACCATGAAATCAATGATAAATAATGTCCTAATATAAATTTCTATTTATCTACAGTAAACTATTATTCACCATTGTCAGAATCTAAGGAGTGTTTGATAACCAAATGTGCTATTTACGAGAGTCCAGTAAATATCAAAATGCAATGCAAAAAGTTCTAAAGGGATTTGAGCCACTGTTTATAAAGACAAGAACTAAATCACACATCGGAGACCTAGCCACAAACACGAGCGTTCAATGAAATTAAACACCTCTTTCTGGTGGGTCCTTGGTGCTTGGTACCTGCCAAGTTCCATCCAATACAATCCACACCAGGACCTTGCGTGTCACATATAAGCCTACCGGGTAACAGAGGCCAGAACCTGCCCCCCTCTAAAGGAGCAGGGGATTGCAGATCACCCTAACCAAGAAAGGCCACCAGAAATGAGTCCAAACAGAAAACCGCAAGATAAACAAACCATAAAAAATGGGACAGCAAATCCCCGAGACTCATGGACCACTCGGTGGTAAAGCTATAAAGCTAGTCTAGTGTTATTTCCACCTGCCCACAACCAAGGGAATGTGCACCTTCCTATTTGAACCACCAGTCTTGCCCCCTTAAGCCATGCAGCTGGGAAAACAGAAAACTGAAGCCCATGACATGTGGATGGGAGGGTCCCCAAGGAGCCACTGAAGACCCACCAGAAAGAGGTCATTCATACGGTCATTGCTGGTTTTCTAGAAGGGCTCCTATTGGTGGCTCAGTGATACTGTCGCTATGGAGAAAAACAAGGGGTACTCATCAGGGGCAGAGCAGAGCTGCAGAAAGTAAACTCCAGGAAAAAGTAGAATAAGTGACGAGTTAAATGCCCCAAAGCCCAGTATGGACCAAGGACATTAAATAATCCACCAGCACCCTGTTGGATCACCAAAAATATCTGCCCAAGACACATTAAAAATATAGTGAATAGAGTCACAAATCTAAAAATATCATAGGCCCAAGGATAGACTGCAGGCTGGCTAAACTTGATGACATTGTGAGCAACCTGAGGCAAACTGACCCTGGAACAAGGAATCAGGGACACCAGATCCACAGAGCGTCACCTTCACACCACTAGTAATCCACCATGCATGTAATTGCCTAAGTGTAGTTACAGGGTGAGAGCTACGCTCGTGGTGCCTGTCATCATCCACCATGTAATGGTGGATGTCTACAACTGGACATAATTAATGATGCACCCTGGTCAAACCAAAGATAATAATAATTTATTCACAGGAGGTACAATGGATTGGTGAGATTACATAACATTGGTATTTGTACATTCTTGCAAAGCCACTAATACGCATAGCATTTCAGGCAGGTCCTTAATCTAACGTATCAGGTAAGATGAAAAGGTATATTGTAGCAAGGTTTTATATCAGTCACCAATTGGATTTTATATTAGGCAGGGAAGCAGGCAAGCAGAGGAAGGGAGGGAGGGAGGGAGGGAGGGTGGCCGGCAGGCAGGCAGGCAGGCAGGCAGGCAGGCAGGCAGGCAGGCAGGCAGGCAGGCAGGCAGGCAGGCAGGCAGACAGGCAGGCAGACAGGCAGGCAGCCAGGCAGGCAGGCAGGCAGGCAGGCAGGCAGACAGGCAGGCAGACAGGCAGGCAGACAGGCAGGCAGCCAGGCAGGGAGCCTTAGGGAGGAAGGGTGGGAAGACAGACAAACAGGGAGGCTGGAGTGTGGGGGTGTTTGGAGTGGGTGTGGGAGTGTCTGGAGTGGGTGTGGGGGTGTCTGGAGTGGGTGTAGGGGGGGTCTGGAGTGGGTGTAGAGGAGGGGGTGTCTGGAGTGGGTGTGGTTGGGTGTCTGGAGTGGGTGTGAAGGGTGTCTGGAGTGGATGTGGTGGATCTTTGAATATGGGTGTGGGTATACATGAGGATTTAAAATATGGAGTACTGTATCTTCATCACATAGCAAAACTTCAAACCATACCTGTGACTAGCCCAGCTCCATCATGACTCCAACGGCCAACCAACACCGCACCGCGATGAGCTTCAACAATCTTCTCATTACGACCACTGCGTCCAACTATATAAAACTTACCTGGAAACACAAATGCTTATTAAATAAATACTGGTAGGTTAAAAATATGTTTAAAAAAATCAACGTTGAATGTAATGAAACTCCATTTTCTGTGTAGAGCCCTGGAGCTATTGGACTGCTAATATTAGCTAATATTAATATGGGGGCTTCAGTCTTATGGAGTTGTCATGCCTACTGGGGACCACTAGCCAGAACATGGTCTCCCTCAGAGAGGCGAAGGGAGAAATGGCCTATGAAACTCTTATGTATAGAAGTATTTGTGTCTGCCATCGACTGGAGTTGAGCATCCAGAAAGGTGGACGCTTCAAAACCGACCCCATCTGTTAGAAATACTGCAACCTGAGACCAAACAAAGGCGAGAAACTCCCCCAAAGAAAAACAAGCTAACAAACAACACGTCATCACGTCGCGTGCCACTCGTTCGTGCCGACCCCCCCCCCCCTTTAAATTGGGTGTAACACCCCCCGGGGCTTTACACAGAAAATGGCGTTTCATTACATTCAACGCTGGTTTTCTGTGGGGAAGCCCCATCGGCTCTCGGGAGCTAACCACCCAAATAGAAAAAAGAAAGGGACTTACTTGAGAGGTGGCTGCACTGCACAACTCATACCGAAGAAAAAGACAACTGGCTGCAACTGCTGACCCAAGGCAACACAAGACCACTGAGGGCCTGGCATAACAAGATATCGGGCAGCCAGGACCCTGTTCTATCCCCGAAACCCTCGCACCCAAATATCCGGCCAAGACATATTGCCAAACACAGCAGTCAAAGCTGTGAACTTATGAACATCATGGGCGAGAGGGTAGACCGCAGGCTGGCTAGACTTGATAACCCTGCGGACACCTTTTGAGACCAAAGTCCTGGAACAGGGAACAAAAGAAACTGGGTCAACCCAAAGCGGCATAAGGCTGCAACCGGACACAAAACATGATGCACCCTCGGCCTGACCAACTAAGCATCAATAACCCACGGACCGCTCTGGAAGCCCGCTGTCTCATTCTTCACCAGAAAAGGAGGAGATGGTTGCAAACCAACAAAACATCCACCAGGAACAAAGGAGCAAAAGCCTCTGTGCAGGAGAGCATGAAGCTCCCCGATCTGACCCCCAGAAACCAAAGCCAACACGAACAAAGCCTTCTGAAAACAATCTAGGACCGAAATTGCTGAAATTGAGGGAATACAGAGAACATATATGGCACGCATAGACGAGATAAAGCGCCTAAATTATTGGGATCGTCTCAAAGCCCTCCAAATGTACTCACTAGAAAGGAGACGAGAGAGATACCAAATAATATACACATGGAAAATACTGGAGGGACAGGTCCCAAATCTGCATAGTAAAATAACAACATACTGGAGTGAACGACATGGAAGAAAATGCAGAATAGAATCAGTGAAGAGCAGAGGTGCCATGGGCACAATCAGAGAACACTGTATGAACATCAGAGGTCCACGGTTGTTCAACGTCCTACCAGCGAGCATCAGAAATATTACAGGAACAACCGTGGACATCTTCAAGAGGAAACTAGATTGTTTCCTTCAAGGAGTGCCAGACCAACCAGGCTGTGGTGGGTATGTGGGCCTGCGGGCCGCTCCAAGCAACAGCCTGGTGGACCAAACTCTCACAAGTCAAGTCTGGCCTCGGGCCGGGCTTGGGGAGTAGAAGTCCATATTTGTCCTTGGTCCCAGAACCCCATCAACCAGGTATCAACCAGGTATCAACCAGGAAAGGGCCACCACAAACCAAGGGAAAGAAAGAAAGGAGAGCACCCAGTCCAAAGACCAAGATGACTCGGGCAGCACAGGAGCAGGCCGGAGGTGGAAAAAGCCACGAGAAAGCTTGCGAAATGAAGCCGAAGTGACATCCACCCTGAATGCAAGCTGAAGCGGCTCCACCAGCACCGCACAATATGAGGCGACAGTATTAGGCATAAGATGCCTGTCCTGAAAGACCCAAGAAAGAAAAGTCAACACAAGATGATCCGAGACTGAAAACAACCTACGCAGGGAAAGGAAGTGGCGAAAAGACTGCCAAGAGACTTCGTACTGTCGCTGAGAAGAAGACTGCAGGTGGGACGCCATGAGAGAAGCCACCTGGTCACCATACAGATGGCGATACACCCACGTTAGAAACTCCAGACGTGAGGCGCGGAAGAGTAGAGCGAACCAGCAAGGTTACCTCACCGGCCCGAGCTGTTCAAAGAGGCAGAGCCGCGGAAAACCCTCGGAAAAGACACGGAATGCGTCGAAATACATGGGGGTCTTCATAGGCCATTGCTCCTCATGCCTCTCTGAGGGGGCCAGGTTCTGGCTCATGGTCTCCGGTAGGCAAGAACTCCAACTGACTAATGCTACAGTCTAATACAGTACAAATATGTATTAGCACGGTAAGCTCCAGGAAGCCGTAGGGGCTCCCCACAGAAATGTACTGAAGTGAATAGATGTCATTTTGAACATGTAATGTAACTGATAAACCAATTGATAACTCATAAATTATATTTAACAAATCTTAGTGGTTTTTCTTTTATACTTTTGCTATAGATTTTTGGGACACCCTATAAATGAATATTAATATATATTCAAAGTCTATATAGACACGGTAGGTTGTTTTTGGCTATCCCTACTTTTTAATTTGTGTTTGGAATTCAGCATTCTGGCTATATCATATCTAGTACAGTATCTTCTTGGTGGTCTGGAGGTCAGATCCTTCTTCAGTTTATGAGTCCATCTTTGTTTGTTAAGTTCAGAAACATAATATTCTATATAAATAATTGAAATTTAATAAGTCCAAAAATTATCCATATTCTTTGTTAAAGGTTGCATAATACACACACATTCGGTTCTATGCCTTGCTTTAGGTGACACATATTTTTTGACTAGGAGTGGCTGATGACTGTACAAAATGTTCCCATAGTTTTAGCTACCAGAGAGGTTAACAAGAAAGTTTTTATATACTGTAAATACACCATTAATTGCAAGTGTCTTTTAACCATCACACTGTGGTTTTAGCAAAAACTTCATAAAACAACTGTCAAGGACATATTTTTGTTGTTTTTACAAATATTCAGGTAAAGTTAATGTCAAAATGTTTCAAACCTTAACTATTTTCATTTTGAAACACAAAAGAGTGATGAAAAGATTAAAAACATTAAAATATAGCCTAATAAAAAAAAAACAGTGTTGAATGTAATGAAACGTCATTTTCTGGGTGAGCCCCGGAGGCTCCCTGGAGCTTATCGGGCTAATGTATGTTATATTAGACCGGGACATTAGCTAATGAGTTCAGACCTACCAGGGACCAGCGCCAGAACCTGGCCCCTTCAGAGAGGTTTCAGGGAGCAATGGCCCTGGAAAACCCCTTTGTAGTTGGGGTTTTCCTTATCTGCCATCAACCGGGGTTAGGCACCCAGAAAGGTAGGCATAACAAAACAAACCTCACATGGTAAAAAACTAAAACAAAAAAACGAACAGAGAGGTAGAAACTCCCTACAATCACAAGGAAACAAGCAAACATCACACTTTACTGCAGCGCCGATCGTCCGCGCAGCCCTCCCCGCCCCGAGAGGGGGAAGGGGGAGCCCCGGACCTACCGTGCCGGCTGCCAAGCTTCAGTTCGGAAGCTAAGCTTCAACCAACGCAAAAAAAAATGCCGACCGATGGGAGGGAGGGTAGCCAGGGAGCCTCCGGGGCTCACCCAGAAAATGGCGTTTCATTACATTCAATGCTGGTTTTCTGTGGGGAGCCCCTACGGCTCTCTGGAGCTTCATACCCAAAGAGAAGGAAAAGAAAGGGCTAACCCGGGAGGCAGCCGCCACAAACTCTTCAACGCAAAGCTGAGACAACAGGTCGCAACCTGCGACCCAAGGCAACAAGAACGCACAGGAGCAGACGCGCATAAAGAATGGGCAGCCAAGAACCTGTGCGACCCTCAAATCCCTGCGCCCGAAATGAGCCCTAGACGTCACCAACACAGCAGCATAAGCTGCAAATGTCTGAACAGCATGGGCGCAAAGACAGACCGCAGGCTGGAAGAATGAAAAACTCTGCAGACGACCTGGGAGACCCGAGCCCTGAAAACAGGGAACGAGGGGAACCGGATCAACCACAGCGCATCCCCAGACACGGTACACAGGCAAAAAGCACAAGCAGACAACACAGGACGTATCCCCGGCCAAACCAATCAAGCATCAATAACCCAAGAACCCCTTCGGAAAGCAGCCGTCTCGACTGTCGCCAGGATGGAGAAAGGCTGCACACGTACAAATCTACCACCAGTACCAAAGAGCAGAAACCTGAACCAAAGGGCTACCACAAACTGAGGAGAAGATAAGAAGGCACCCTGATCAAGGACCAGGACGGCTCAGGCGACGCATGAGCAGGCCGGAGGTGAAACAAAACATCCTCTACTGCCTCTACTCACAGCTATTTTCTTAGGTTGAACCTTACCAATGGCTTTCTTGAGACCCATGGCAAGATATATAATGACAACTTTTATGCTCAAATGGCAAAAAAAAACGATAAAAAACTGTAAATCCTTGTGAAGAATTCAGGTGGGATAGTCACTGGACACGAGACACTGGTAAACTGAGGCGCGATCGCCATGCCACCACGCGCCAGTCGGCCTGTACACGTATCAACAAACTCGCGTTCCGAGGTAACCCTCGCCTTCCGAGACATATTTTCCGAGGAAATCCTGCTCGTCTTCCGAAAAACTCGCATACAGGGACACTCGCATTCCGAGGTACCACTGTGTGTGTGTGTATATGTGTATGTATGTATATATATATGTATATGTATGTATGTATGTATGTATGTATGTATGTATGTATGTATGTGTGTATATATTATATATATATATATATATATATATATATATATATATATATATATATATATATATATATATATATATATATATATATATATATATATATATATATATATATATATATATATATATATATATATATATATATATATATATATATATATATATATATATATATATATATATATATATATATATATATATATATATATACACACACACACACACACACACACACACACACACACACACACACACAGATTTAAACTAGCTAAACACAGATGCCGAAGAAATATAAGAAAATTCACCTTCGCAAATAGAGTGGTAGACGGTTGGAACAAGTTAAGTGAGAAGGTGGTGGAGGCCAAGACCGTCAGTAGTTTCAAAGCGTTATATGACAAAGAGTGCTGGGAAGACGGGACACCACGAGCGTAGCTCTCATCCTGTAACTACACTTAGGTAATTACACTTAGGTAATTACACACACACATACACCAGTGCCCATTACAAAATAGGGAAGGCAACAAAAGCAGCAAGCCTGAATCCCCACCACCAACTGTACCAGTCCCAAAAAACTGGAGAGGAACGTGCCAAGAAGTGACCTGGAGGTCCAGGGCCACCATCCAGGCACCCGGCCCCAACAGAAGCCCGACAGGAGACAACAGTCCTCCGAGGAGGGCATAGAATCCAGGGCGCAGACTGAAGAAGTCCAGAAGAACTGCAGATGCGAAAGGCCCATGACTGCAAAGAGCAGACGGGAACCCCAGAAGGATGGGGCGGATCGACCACGTCCAACGCACCCACTAAGATGACATGACGAAGTGCAGGGGAAGAAGCCCACCCTACTAGCTCTGAACCCCCCCAAAGGGAAAGAAGCCGTCCACCGACGCCACCAGAGGCCGGAAGACAACCAAAAGCGCCTGAGGAAACTGAGGCCAGAGAAGCGTCAATCCCGGTTGATATTAGCTTACAAACTGAAGTTTGGCAGCCGGCGCGGTAGGTATGGGGCTCCCCCCCTCCCTCTCTCGGGGCAGGGAGAGCTGCGCGGACGATCAGCACGGCAGTAAAGTGTGATGTTTGCTTGTTTCCTTGTGATTGTAGGGAGTTTCTACCTCTCTGTTCGGTTTTTTGTTTTAGTTTTTTACCATGTGGGGTTTGTTTTGTTATGCCTACCTTTCTGGGTGCCTAACCCCGGTCGATGGCAGATAAGGAAAACTCCAACCACAAAGGGGTTTTCCAGGGCCATTGCTCCCTGAAACCTCTCTGAAGGGGCCAGGTTCTGGCGCTGGTCCCTGGTAGGTCTGAACTCCTTAGCTAATGTCCCGGTCTAATATAACATACATTAGCCCAATAAGCTCCAGGGAGCCATAGGGGCTCCCCACAGAAAATAGCACAACTCGTAGAGTGCCTTATGGCACTCTGTGCAGTACAATGGTTAATGCTCTAACTTTGGAGCCTTAAGGGCTTAATATAAGCCTCGTAGGTTTACTAAAATGTTGTAGCTCTTGGATTTTGTATGTCTACAATTACACTGTTAACAGAGCAATAATACTTCCCTGCATTATTACAAGACTATTAACAAATTTTTTATCTTACCATCAGCTGCTGTCATTAAAAACACTTCAGATCCAACTTTGGTCTTTTGGACTGCTGTTTTAGGGAGCCAGTGTAAGTCAATAGGGTAAACATCAGATGGCAAATCTGATAATTTGGTAGTTTCATTGGACACCAAATTCCACTGAAGAAGTTGATGATCATCCCTGTATAAATAATATGATATATAAGTATAAATCACACGATATTTTTTAGGATGGTCAATTTCAATGGTAAGTTTAAACCCTGCAAGCTTTTATCGAGTTTTGACAATGTCGTAAACATCAAGCACTAAATTTAATAAAATGCTCTTTTATTGGTAAGCTCCCAGTATTTGGTTTTATGGCTTCAAACTTCCCCATGTTATCCTTTAGTGCATGTATTGTTCTAGGCCGGTTATTATAAGAACTGGCTCCCAAAAGTAACGCTCTCCTGGCTTTACTTTGGTACTGTACCAACAAGCCCTAGCCCAACACACCAGGCTTCTGAGACACTTGTGTCGCAGCTACTCAAAGTCACGACCAGAGTCTGCGTGGTAAAGGGAGCAGGGGTTCATAGATAAACTAGAAAACTGGGAAAACCCCAGAGAGCACAGGTAGATCAAAACAAATGACTGCTGGAAGGATATAATTAATAGTTTGTTTTGTCAAAGACAGGAAGCAAGTGTATATGTATACTTTAGGGTTGTATTGAGATCCCCAAAGGATTTCCGTACTGAGATCTCCCAAAGGATTTCTCTACCGAGATCCAAGGTTGAACTACTGACCCTTCCTAGGATGCAACCCAACACCATTTGCCTAACTCCCAGGTATCTATTTACTAGTCAGTGAACAGTGAACTACTCAACATTAGATGAAAGGAAATGGGCTCGACCTTTTCTGTCCCGCCTGGGAATATGAACTCGGGATTCCTGATTGTGATTCATAAACAAAACCAACTGTACTATGAGACCTCTCTTGAGATCTTTCCCTTGGGTTCCACTTCATCTTCTCAGGCTGTGGGCGTGGATGAGGGCTCGGCCCCGGGGCTTATGAACCTGGCCCTTCTCTAAGAGGGCCAGGTTCTGCTCGTGGTCCCCACTAGGCCGACAGAACTCCACAGCTGATGGCACCTAGTAGCATGGCACTTAATCAATGTGATAGCTTCATGTGGTTACTTTGCCTCTACCTCTTTTTGTTTATCTTTCACTGTTTTATGTTCATCTATTATTTCTTAGTGTTGTGATTTTAAACCTTAAGAATGATTTTCTCCACACAAAAACTTTGGATGATTGACTGGGTGGCTTCCTCAATTATTTACCCAAAACCTTATCTCAGGTCAGATACCGCCTGCAGTCTGTCTCACTGATCACCTTGTACCTCTATACTATACTGTATCTTTCAAAACACTAATTTTTTGTTTTGTTTCTTTAACTTTTTTTGTTTCAATCTGTTTGCTAGACATTAATTCACCAATAGGCATTTTTTTCACTGCAATATTGCTTGTTTATCCCTCCCAAATTACAAACACACTGGAGCACCCCAGCCCTCAACCCTCCCTGAAGGTGGAAATAATAATATTCATCCTTCGGAGTCGAAGATGTCTGCAGAAAATAATCCATAGCCTCGTCTAAATAATTATTGTATAGAGTTCCCAGAATGGACCTCCTTCATAGGTGGCTCAGGACATCCAACGATGGAACCAACATTCCCAACAGAGCCTGGAGCCTGAACAGAGAGAAAAGATGGTGGCGGCAAGGTAAACTCTTGAACTCTAGGAAGCCAAATCTCGAGACAAATCCCAAAAAGACAAAGGTTATTATCAATTTGGGGAAAGAAAGGTCCCCTCACTTAACCAACATATTATATCCCTAGAGGGGGCAGCCCCTGCCAGTCTTTCATCAGTTGATGCTGTGGGTTTGCAGGCCAAAATGGCTTAGAAGCTTTGTCCTGCAAAGCAGCTGCATTCCAATAAATGGCCTCACAAGATACAGCTCAGCCAAAAGTAAAGTACAGCACCAACAACTGGATGAAAGGATCCCTGAACCAAGCAGGATGCATGACGGGCAACAGGAATGGCAATGAAGGTCTTAAAATACTCAAGTACATCCCAAGAGGCACAGATTCAGATGGGGTGAGCCATAACAACTTGACAGGAAACATACAGTACTAAATAATATACCCAATACACAGGGGGGTATTAGGGGTATGTCAAGTCTGTATGCTTTCTGTCAAGTATGTCAACTTGACAGAAAACACATAGAGTAACAAATAATATACCCAATACACAGGGATAAAAGGGCACTGGCCACTTGAGCTGTCACACAGACAAGCAGGCAGGTATGCTGGGCGCAGTGTTCCTGGGCTAAGCAAATACCACATCCCAAAGCTCGAATACTTGATTTGACATTGAGCTTAAAACCCATCAATGACAGGTGAGTTCCTAAGGCAACTACAATAACTTATTGACCAACTAGCAAGAATATAATGAGAAGAGGGGGTACATATATTTCAGTGCATATATTTCTGATCGTGCACTCTGTGAGGGAGGGTATCAGAAAAACCGTATGCATGACCCAAGCATACCATCAGCCAAAGTACAAGGCCCCTAACAAGCACAGGAGCAGGGCCAACATGATACCTTACCTTGTGGTTACCTTGAGGTGCTTCCGGGTCTTAGCGTCGCCGCAGACTGGTCGTCGAACAGGCCTCCTGGTTGCTGGACTGATCAACCAGGCTGTTGGACGCGGCTGCTCACAGCCTAATGTATGAGTCACAGCCTGGTTGATCAGGTATCCTTTGGAGGTGTTTGTCAAGTTCTCGCTTGAACACTGTACTATGTGTTCAAGAGGTAAGGTGGTTTGTAAATATGGAGAAGACTGTCTACTTTCAATCAACAGGCCCCACAGAGATAAATAAATCTCATGCACTGGTTAGAAAATAGGATACCTCTAGAGGAGTCAGCTCGTTGTGGAGAGAGCCCGCAACTCCCTAAGAGAAGGGAACTCTGGAGGGGGTATAGGGAACCAGCATTTAATTTCAGGGAAACGGAACTCTAGCCATGGTTGGAGCAAAATGGAATGCTATGGCACTCACTATATGGAAGGTATTAAACACAATCGTGAACTACTACTAATAAAACAAAGCAAAGTCTTCCATTGGAATGTGAGGTGCCAGGGAAAGTCAACATTATCTTAGTTGAAAGTGAGAAGCCAATGAGGGGCCAGCAGAGGCAACAGGTGTTGGATGAGCTATATGAGGCAGAAGAGTGACGTGGAAGTCTGGCAAGAACCTCGAATGAATTGGGTTGCCATTTAGAGGCAGTTGGGAGCATCAGATTTAGAGTAGTTACCCAGCAGAAATAATATTTTGTTTAGTTTCTCTGGGTTATCTCACTTCTTACAAGCAGTCACATGGTTTTGTTACACCATTGCTTTCTGATGAGTTATTCCAAGCTTTGTGGTTGAGTTTTGAATGCTTGCTCTCCTCACCTCCTAGAATGAGCCAGATTCTGGTCCTAGCTACCAACTGGTGATGGAAGGGTCTCCGAGGTCTGGCGTGTTGAGCTAATGCTTAGTGGCATCAGATTCATGCTCAAAGAGTCCCTGAGGGGGTCCTTCCATAAATGTTTTTGTACATGGCTAACTTATTAAAGAAAATAGAAACCTTATTATAGACAATGGAAATTGAATAATTCTGTATACAGTAAAGTATACAGAATATCATATTCTGAAACACAAGCAAAGTAAAACTACAGTGATGGTTTGCTCAAACAGACCTGGATTCAGTTAAATAATTATGATGCCGTAAAGCAGTAATAAAATATTATAGTCTTCTAATTATAAAGAATATATTTGATTTAAGATAAAGTATACTAATATTGCAAAATAAATACAGTGGTACCTCGGAATATGAGTGTCCCTGAATACGGGTTTTTCGGAATATGAGCAGGATTTGCTCGGAAAATGTGCCTCGGAAGGCGAGGGTTACCTCGGAACACGAGTTTGTTGATATGCGTACAGGCCGAACTAGCGTGTGGTGGTACGGCGATCGTCGCCCCTCACCCCTCAGTTTACCAGTGCCTCACGTCCAGTGACTATCCCATGTCAATTCTTCACCCGGATTTTCAGTGTTTTGTTGGATTTTTGGTCATTTGACCATAAAAGTTGTTATTATATATCTCACCATGAGTAGTTCTTTAAAACTCGTTGACAAAGCCTGGCAAGAAGTGATTCAGAGAACCCTGATTTCTGGCTGGAGAAAATTGTGGCGTGAATGTGTGACAGAACTAGACTTTGAGGGGTTTGAGCCTGTAAATGATGCACCTATTGTTGAGGAAATTGTTACTCTGGGCTGGCAAATGGGCTTGGAATTGGATGGTGATGATGTGGAGGAGATGGTGGAAGAAGACAATGAAGAACTGACCACCGAAGAACTCCAAGCCCTTCAAAAGGAACAGCAAGAAGACCCAGCTGAGGATGTTTCTCCAGTGGAGGAGGATGAGGCAGTAGTGAATGTTCCTTCTGCAGAAATTAAGGTGTGTCAGGTATGGGAAGAAATGCAAACTTTTATTGAAAAGACTCACCCAGTGAAAGCTGTAGTAAGCCGTTGCCTTAATCTTTTCAATGACAATGTGATGCCTTACTACAGAGACAGCTTGCGAAGAAGGGAAAAACAAGCTTCCATGGACAAATTTGTTGTGAGAAAATCGAGCAGTGAGCCACAACCAGGACCTAGTGGTATGCAGGCAAAACGTGCCAGGGAGTGCACACCAGAAAGGTCTTCTCTGCCTGATGTTATAATGGAAGGGGACTCCCCTTCCAAACAGTAACATCTCTCCTCCTCCCCCCTCCTCACCATCTTCCATACGTCTACAGCTGTCAGAGAATTGTCTCTCAAGATTCTCCCACAGCTGACTTGAAATGGCTCATTACAGTGCACCGATCTTGTGCACAAGCCTATCTCTCTTAACCCTGGATAGTGACCTGGCATGTTGGGTATCTCCAGAATGCCCACTTAACCAGGAACACGTTTATAATACGGAGGCTGCCGTATGTCCAGGCAGGAAGTAGATACAGGGAAGTTAAGCATACTTGCCACAAAGGGTCAGTGAGTACATTGGCTGGTGCCAGCGTGAGAGACGCCTGCGAGGCGACCGCCTGACCTCTGGGGTCAACCGGCGCGATGGAGAATAACAGCTGTGATGTGGTCGTGACGTGTTCATGACGTCACCTCTGCTACTGATCAGGGAACGGTCATTATGATTGGTTCCCGCTCATTTGCTGCAATGCTATTGGTCAAATTGTAACTCTTTTGTGTTGTGTGCCACTAGATGCCTGGCAGCCCTTGCAGAGCATTCTCGTGAGGGAGCTCTTGCATAGAGAATGTGTCCTGTTCTGTCTATCGGCCAATAGACTGAACATCGTCCATTCCTCACCGTCAAGTTACCTCACCGTCTTTTCGATATACCCACACTCGCTCAGAATCACGATTGTGAATATATTGTTCAGAAGCCTATAGTGACAAAATCACCAGAGCGAAACAGACTGGTATCGGGTAACCCCTGGTGACAAAGATCGTTGTGAGTGACCTAGGGTGAACTAAGGCAGTGCCGCTGCCTAAGTAACTTGTGTGTGACTTTACCACAAGTGTACCTGCATGGTACCACAGCTGCCGCCAGCCGCCACTCTGTCCAGAGCATGTAGCTAGTACCTCAGTACCTCGAGGCGCCCGCCACCGCCCTCACTGTACCACGTGACGTCACCACCCTTACTCACCGCCAGTGCCAAGTGTGTGTGCGTGTGTCTGTCTGTTAAGCATACAGCACGCCCTCCTACCCCCATATCAAGTACGGATTGTGGGAAGCCAGTCGTCAATGGTCTCACGTCAGAATGAGCGCCCAGCTGTCAGGCCACCTACGAGTTTTTGAATAAATGTGCCTGAGTGAGTAAGACCCCCGTCTGTAAGTACAAGATCTTGTCATTGTTTTATTGTGTCTGTGTTGATCTGAGGTATCAACCACAGTTCTCACCTTCTCATACCTGTCACAGGTTATAGGTGAATCGACGGTGTATGCGTGTTATCTGTGTGGTATCACAGCATTTCACTCGTCTGTGAATGTGAGCTTCACATACACCACACATTTAGTTATTGTGTGTGATTATTATTGTGCATGTTATTGCCTGTCCCATTGACAGTGCCTTTGTGATTTATTGCATATCATCATTACCGAGTGTCCGGTTGGAACTCTTGTGATCCCTTTGCATACCGGCAGTTAAGTTGCCGTGTTAATGATTGGCTGTCAATTGTGTTAAGTTAGGTGTTACTCCATGAGTGGATACGAGTCGATTAGCCAGACGTCAAGAGTCTTGCTAATGCAACCATAGCCTTTCTGACAAAAATCTAAAGTAAATCAAGCACCCTTTGTATTAGTGGTTAAGTTAGTAAATAAACTACTGTTAAGTTTTATGCGGTGTTTCTGTTGAACCACTTCTGAATACTGCCAACATTACTCAAGCCTTCAGCTCTAAGTGTCTTCAACACCGAGTTGCCTATATTCACTAAACTATAAATGTGATGAGGACCTTAGGAGTCCCTTAAAGTGTTAAATCATTGAGGAGATTCCAACGATCAACGTGGAGCAGGACCAGTTGAGGCTAGTCTGAGAAGAGACCCTCAAGGACTCTAACCCGACCTTGCTCCCAGGCCCTGTACGGTTGCTCTCGTATTTTCTATTCTGCTAATTCCGACAGTTTCGTGAAGCGTCTGCCACATGTACATTGGCGACGTACACATTGCAGTCGTGAAAGCAAAAAAGAAACCCCCCACAACAGCATTCATCAACAAGAGTAAGTAATAACTTGAACATAGTTTTGTAGGTTTATTTAGATAAATTAGGTATAAAATTTAGTTTGAAGTGAGGTTTTTGGGGTAGTCAGGAACGAATTAATTCATTTCCCATTATTGCTTATGGGGAAATTAGCTTCGGAATACGAGCTGTCTCCAGGAACGGATTAAACTCTTAAACCGAGGTACCACTGTACTGGGTAATTTTGGGTATACATAGAGGGTGATGTATTTAATTATAATTGCAGGTAAAGTGTTAAGGATATAGTTCAAAGTTGCATAATCACCCATTCTAAAATCCTATTACCAAAAGAACCTTTTGTTTACTGTTCCTGAACATCATGTACAAGACAATCTGCTTATGCTCAACAGAATTAACAAAATTACAGCAGTTACACTTCAAATATAATTTGATTCAAGTTTTTCCAATATACTTAATATAATTAGGAGACTTCATAAAGCCCACAAATTCTAAATACACACCAACCATACAACATTATCACATGTTATCTTGAGGTTATCTAGAGATGATTTTGGGGTTTAGCATCCCGGCGGCCCGGTCCTTGACCAGGCCTCCTTTTTGTTACTCCCCCCACCCCCCGGAGAAGCAGCCCATAGCAGCTGTCTAACTCCCAGGTACCTATTTACTGCTAGGTGAACAGGCGCATGAGGGTAAAAGAAACTCTGTCCATATGTTTCTGCCTCCACCGGGGATCGAACCCCGGAACATCAGGACTACAAATCCTGAGCGCTGTCCACTCAGCCGTCAGGACCCTAACACCTATCAGGTGTTGGATCAAATTACTATCCAGTTTGTCTAAACTGTTGCAAGTTACATTTATATAACAAATACTCACCCACAAGAATAAACTTCGTCAGGTGAAACCCAACCAACACAAGAGACAAGCTCTGTGTGCTTTGGCTTATTTACCATTGATGTTTTAAATCGCATTATGAACAATCTGAAAGTGATAATTAATAGTTAAAATACACTCAAGGGTAGTGATACAAGTCTGTTGTTGTGTAAAATTTGAAGTGCAAAGCATATTGGTGTATAATACAGTACTTTATATGTACTATACTGTAATTTCATCAAATTAAAAATCTAAACTTTCTTCATCTAGATAAAAATATTCTTCATTATACAGCACAGTATTACAAATCTTTATTCGCACACACACACTTCACAGTATTTAGGCAGAAGTAAAACTATAGCAGTATGGACAGTATATGAATCATATGCAGCACAGACTGTAATAATTTGTTTATTTGTGAACCACACTATTGTGAAAATAAACATTTCATTCAGCTGGGCACTTGGAGACTTGAACTGCTGACCTCACGAGCGTGAGGCAGAAGCTCTATCAATTGGGCTATGAGTAATCTTAATAAGGAAAGATTCCAGGAGCAACTAACCGCTGCCAAGCTGGAATTGTCGACTTTCCCTGACTACTACTGAAGCTCAAGAGGAATTAGTGATCCACGCCTATGTCATATAAATTTATTAGAAGCCCGTACAAAAAACCCAGTTGATAGAGCTTCTGCCTCATGCCCGAAGAGTCAGCGGTTTGAGTCTCCAAGTGCCCAGGTGAATGAAATACACAGTATGTATGTATGTATGTATGTATGTATGTATGTATGTATGTATATGTATGTATATGTATGTATGTATGTATATGTATGTATATGTATGTATATGTGTATATATATATATATATATATATATATATATATATATATATATATATATATATATATGCGAACAAGCCTGAATGGTCCCCAGGACTATATGCGAATGAAAACTCACACCCCAGAAGTGACTCGAACCCATACTCCCAGAAGCAAACGCAACTGGTAACTACAGGGCGCCTTAATCCGCTTGACCATCACGGCCGTCAAAAGGAAGTGATAGCCGAGGCTATTTGAGCCACTTCCCCGACGGCAACTCGGATGGTAATCTTGGGCATAGCATTTCACCAAATCACCTCATTCTTTGGGGCACACGTGAGGAACACAAATGCGAACAAGCCTGAATGGTCCCCAGGACTATATGCGAATGAAAACTCACACCCCAGAAGTGACTCGAACCCATACTCCCAGAAGCAAACGCAACTGGTAACTACAGGGCGCCTTAATCCGCTTGACCATCACGACCATCACGAATCCATCTTGACCATAGTCCTGGGGACCATTCAGGCTTGTTCGCATTTGTGTTCCTCACGTGTGCCCCAAAGAATGAGGTGATTTGGTGAAATGCTATGCCCAAGATTACCATCCGAGTTGCCGTCGGGGAAGTGGCTCAAATAGCCTCGGCTATCACTTCCTTTTGACGGCCGTGATGGTCAAGCGGATTAAGGCGCCCTGTAGTTACCAGTTGCGTTTGCTTCTGGGAGTATGGGTTCGAGTCACTTCTGGGGTGTGAGTTTTCATTCGCATATAGTCCTGGGGACCATTCAGGCTTGTTCGCATTTGTGTTCCTCACGTGTGCCCCAAAGAATGAGGTGATTTGGTGAAATGCTATGCCCAAGATTACCATCCGAGTTGCCGTCGGGGAAGTGGCTCAAATAGCCTCGGCTATCACTTCCTTTTGACGGCCGTGATGGTCAAGCGGATTAAGGCGCCCTGTAGTTACCAGTTGCGTTTGCTTCTGGGAGTATGGGTTCGAGTCACTTCTGGGGTGTGAGTTTTCATTCATATATATATATATATATATATATATATATATATATATATATATATATATTAGTATATTTTGGTAGCAGTCTTTCCTGTAGACATATATTATTAAATATGACCGAAAAAGTAAGATTAATAATTCTAACACGAATTTTCTCAATCTTTCGTACATTACGCTTCACTGTTGGAGGTAAATCAAAAATCACTTCTCCAAAATTCATTTTTATTTCTAGTCTGACGCGACACGGGCGCGTTTCGTAAAACTTATTACATTTTCAAAGACTTCACAAATACACAACTGATTAGAACTTACGTATCTCTGATTTTATATCTACATTTGAGTGAGGTGGGAGGGGTGATGTGGCATTAACACAAGAGAGAACAAGAGGGGATATTAATAGGGTATTAAAAGTATCAACACAAGACAACAGAAACAATGGGTATTGAATAGAAGTGTTTGTAGAAAGCCTATTGGTCCATATTTCTTGATGCTTCTATATTGGAGCGGAGTCTTGAGGTGGGTAGAATATAGTTGTGCAATAATTGGCTGTTGATTGCTGGTGTTGACTTCTTGATGTGTAGTGCCTCGCAAACGTCAAGCCGCCTGCTATCGCTGTATCTATCGATGATTTCTGTGTTGTTTACTAGGATTTCTCTGGCGATGGTTTGGTTATGGGAAGAGATTATATGTTCCTTAATGGAGCCCTGTTGCTTATGCATCGTTAAACGCCTATGGCAATTCCACGACCAAGAGATGGCTTCCTGAACCTTGCAGGAATTAACCTCACTGAGGACCAAGTCACTCTCCTAAATCTGGGCATAAACTGTCATGTTATGTCCAGACCGAGTGAAATGGCCCGGAAAGTAGAGTTGGAAATTCTGTCGGACGACATATTCGACCTCGAGACACAAAAGAAGGTCACTACCAAAGATACCTTACAAGCAGAACTTATTGCAGAAGGAGGAAAGAATCGAGGCAACTACAGAAGCACCATACTGTCCCCCGAGCTTAAAGCGGCAGCTAAAAGCCTTCGTGAGAACAAGGAGATAGTTGTCAGGAGAGGTGACAAGTCGCCAATATATGTCATTCTTAAAAAAGACGAATATCTGGCGAAAATGAACATCATACTCTCTGACCAAACTAAGTTCCAAAGGGTAACGAAGGACACTACAGCCGAATTAAAAGCAAAGGTCAACAAACTGATCGAAACTGTGAACGCCAAGAAATCCGGACTCCACCTGCCAAAGATCATTGGGGAATATAAACCTGGATATGCGTATGGAAATGTCAAGACGCACAAGCCTGGAAACCCACTTCGGCCAATCATTAGCCAGATACCCACACCCACGTACAGACTGGCGAAGCGACTCAACGGCCTGCTGACTCCTTATGTTCCTTGCGCCTTCAGCCTGAAGTCTCCAAAGGAATTTGTGGACTTACTGCGGGGCACACGGGCCACAGGGATAAGAGCCTCGTTGGACGTAGAATCGCTGTTTACCAACGTACCTGTGGACGAGACAATCGGAATGATAGCCGACAGAGTGTATCGTGATCCAGCCTGTACTCCTCTTGACATGCCAGAAAGTATTCTGAGGAAACTACTCCAAGCTTGTACTAAAGAGGCACCCTTCTTGAGCCTGGATGGGCACATGTATAAGCAAGTAGATGGGGTCGCCATGGGTTCTCCCCTAGGTGTCCTGTTTGCAAACTTCTACATGGGTACCATCGAGCAAAAAGTCTTAGTCGACATGAACTTGAAACCGGCCATATACTGCAGGTATGTTGACGACATTTTTACACAGGTACCTGATGTCAGACATCTGCAGGAGCTGAAGGAGGCATTTGAGCAGAGTTCCGTGCTGCGTTTCACTTATGAGACGGAAAAGGATGGGAAGCTGCCTTTTCTAGATGTAACAGTCATGGAAAAAGGCGGAGGTTTCCACACTGCAGTCTACACTAAGGAAACAAACATAGGAATGTGCCTAAATGCCAACAGCGACTGCCCTGACAGGTACAAGAGGAGTGTTGTTAACGCATACGTCGACCGTGCTCTCAGCCACAGCTCAGAATGGAAGCAAGTCGACGAAGAATTCTGTAGGGTAAGGCAGGTCCTAGTCAATAACGGCTTCTCCAATGGTTTCATCGAAGACATCATAAGAAGGAAAGTGAAAAGCCATGCAACCTCTGAAGAGACAACTAACACAACACCTATACCCCCTATTAGACTATTTTACAGGAACTTCTTTTCCACAGCTCATAAAACGGAGGAAAGGGTCCTGAAAGATATTGTTAATAGAAACGTTATCCCTACAGACAAAAATCAGAGGATACAACTGACGATTTACTATAAAACCAGAAAAACGGCCAGCCTACTCATGAGAAACTCTCCAGACACAAAACAGAACGCTTTAAAAGAGACTAACGTCGTCTATGCCTTCAAATGCCCACTTGGGGACTGTAAGCTCCAAAAAACCCAGTATATAGGCAAGACAACAACATCTCTTTCTAGGCGTTTAACGATGCATAAGCAACAGGGCTCCATTAAGGAACATATAATCTCTTCCCATAACCAAACCATCGCCAGAGAAATCCTAGTAAACAACACAGAAATCATCGATAGATACAGCGATAGCAGGCGGCTTGACGTTTGCGAGGCACTACACATCAAGAAGTCAACACCAGCAATCAACAGCCAATTATTGCACAACTATATTCTACCCACCTCAAGACTCCGCTCCAATATAGAAGCATCAAGAAATATGGACCAATAGGCTTTCTACAAACACTTCTATTCAATACCCATTGTTTCTGTTCTGTCTTGTGTTGATACTTTTAATACCCTATTAATATCCCCTCTTGTTCTCTCTTGTGTTAATGCCACATCACCCCTCCCACCTCACTCAAATGTAGATATAAAATCAGAGATACGTAAGTTCTAATCAGTTGTGTATTTGTGAAGTCTTTGAAAATGTAATAAGTTTTACGAAACGCGCCCGTGTCGCGTCAGACTAGAAATAAAAATGAATTTTGGAGAAGTGATTTTTGATTTACCTCCAACAGTGAAGCGTAATGTACGAAAGATTGAGAAAATTCGTGTTAGAATTATTAATCTTACTTTTTCGGTCATATTTAATAATATATATATATATATATATATATATATATATATATATATATATATATATATATATATATATATATATATATATATATATATATATATATATATATATATATGTCGTACCTAGTAGCCAGAACGCACTTCTCAGCCTAATATGCAAGGCC